TGAGGTAGAAGAGACACACAGTGATTCTAATACAGGATAGAATGGATTCCAAGCCATAGGTGAGGCCCAAACAGCTACAGGAATTTACTAAAAGAGGCAGGAATCAGCTTATGGAAAAGAGAGCATTTGCCTCTTCTTAAGAAGCATGTTTTTATAATGTGATCCATGCTGATTAAAACTACTAAAGTGAAATGAGCAGTGGATTGTGTCCCCTGTTTATTTTAGCTATATTTTCTTTTTATTGAGTAATAGCAAAGTCTATTTTTCTTCTCAACAAGTATTTGTGGCCAGTTTGAAGAATCTATTGGATTCAACATCAGGCAAAGACAAGTATCAGTGTGGAGAGAAGCAATGGCAATGCAAAGACATATAAATGAGAATGGAAAAGACCCTACTACATGAAAAATAATATACAACACTGCTGACGGTAAAATTAAAGGTTATAAATGCAGACTTGGAATCAGACTACCCCATGTTTGAATACTAGTTGTGTGGCCTTGGGCAAGTAACTTAACTTCTCTCAGGCTCAGGTCCACATATGTGAGCAGAACCTACCTCACAGGTTGTGTGACTATTTAAAATGACACATAGTATGTGCTAGTGTTAAAGGAAGAAAGGAAGGGGAAAGAGGGAGGGATAGTGGAAGGAAAGCTAGAAGGAATGGGAGATTTTTTAAAAGCTTGGGTCAGATCATAGAAAGCTTTGAAAATCTAATTCACTTAAATTAATATAACTAAGAGATGAAAGTAAAACTAAAAAGAAGAAATTGAGTTACACTGGAAAGATGGCTTATTAGATGAGAAAAAATATATCCATAGTAAGCAATGCTAAAATGTTATATTTGTATAACATGTTTTTACAATATGAACCATGATTACTGAAGCTTCTAAACTAATGAAATTTGTAGGTAATTGTATCCCTGTTTATTTTAGCTATGTTCTTTTATTGAGTATTAACAAAGTCAATTACTTATGACTAATGTGAACACTGTAATAATGAGCGTGCTTCCCAGGAATCAAAGTTCCCTGATGCTGGGCCATAGGAGAACATAAAAGCAGTGGTACTCCCACCCCATGGGCTTAGGTGCTATACCTGTGACCAAAGCAGTATGGCCTGGGGCAGACAGTCCAACTGGTCATCCCACATCAATGATGGCTACCGTGTGACTGACACAATGTGTTACCCTGGCACTTTCTGATGACAAAGGTCCAGAAAAGTAGTACATCTTTAGTTTTCTGCCCTTTATCTGCCCTGATAATCACAGCAGAGTAGGCTCCACTGGGTTAGCAGATGCCACAGGCTAGTAGCCATCACCCCCAACCCCCCAAACTGAGATTATTTTCATGAGAGTCGACCTTCTTGGCTGATCGGAGAATACATGAGGTGACTGTTGTGACATCCTCAATAGACAACAGACAGCTAAAGGATTATTAAATGTTAATTTATGTAAAAAGCAATTTCTATGTTTAGGCTCTTTTTGTATTTCCTTATGGAAAGAGAAATATCAATAATGTTTTGTACAAATTGACACTGATAATAACAGCCCACAAATAGTAGCACTGTCCTGGATAATCTGCTAAGTGATCCACATCCATGACTTCATCCCACCCTCACACACCCTGTAGGTAGAGGTGATTACTTTAATTTTAAAGGTAATGAAACAGAAGTCAGAACTTTCCAAAGACAGAGCTGGGACGGGAGGTAAATCTGTCTGAAATTCCTGGCCCATGCTTTAACCTTTAGAGAATTCTGCATGTGGTAGCATGTCAGCATCCCGTGGGGGGAGGGGGTAGTCCGTGAGGGGGGCGGTTTCAAAAGCTAGATTCCTGGGTCTCCCCTCAGACTTACAGAAACAAGCCTTTATAAGCTTTTAGGCATACCCATGGCTAAGGACTAGCATACTTCAATACTAGTTAAAGTGTGTTGGGCAGAATAACATTACTCAATTATTACTCAAGAAGGTATTCTGGGGGCTTTGGTGAGCCCAGAGTTTTTATTATTTCAAAGCATACAATAAACAGAGTTAATAATTATTTTGATCTGCCCATAACTCCTACAGAGTGAGAAACAACTGACAAATTGTTGGGCTGAGCAAGACAATGAGGCGGAGTGGGAAAGTGTTCACTTGTCACAGGGAGGTGGGACCTGAACTGTTCCTCAATTGGAGAAGTGAAGATGAAACACAATGTGCATGTGCCTATTAATCTTCCTCTGCCTGGCATATAGTAGAAACTTAATAAATACTTGTTAAATGGGCCAAAAAATGAGTGAAGGACCAACTCCCTCCAGCTGGAAGTAATTTCACTTTCCACTAAATTCTCTGTACTTTTTTTTTTTTTTTAA